ATACCAAAATTAATACCTGCATGTATCCCAAACATTTCTGAGCCTGCTTGGATGTAAGAAACATGGATGATCTGTTCAGGTTTCTGATACCAGTCTGGGAGAGCCACCTCTACTTCTACCCTTGTAAACTGATTCTCTGAAAGGATGGTCATGCACTGCAACAGGCTGCCAAGGAGGTGGTGGAGTCACTGTCCCTGGAGGTGTTCCACGAATGTGTAGATGTGGGACATGGGGACATGGCTTAGTGAGCAATATTGGTGGTTGGTGGTCAGTTGGACTAGATGATGCTGGAGGTCTTTTCCAACCTTAGTGATTCTATAATTCTACACACAGAAGATTTAGGCTTAAGATACCAGCAGTCACTGGCAGGATCAGAAATGGCCTCATATTTGAAATGAATATGAGTGGGTATACATCTGCCATGCAATAGTGACACAACATCCTTTGAGAATCCATACTCCCTGTGAAAGATGTTACTTTCCCCTTCTCTATCACCTCTAACTAGCTGGTGAGAACTCAAACTGGGACTGGCAAGCTCACTGCAGGTACCACCTCTCTGAGCTATGTGCACACTCTCATCTGTCCACAACAGCCTCCATAACAGCATAACCAACCAAGGTGGCATGTAACCCATCATATGGTGGGACCAAGATTTCCATCCTCAGCTGTGTCTTCTGAGAGATTCATATATGAACACAAGCCATAATGATTGCTTTTCCCACACTTGCCAAAGCCTAGAGAAGCACTGTTGAGGAAGGTACTGACAGCTCTGTGGTTGTTTGCTGTCCTGGTTTGTGCACACGTTTTTTCCATTCTTCACTTGACTGAATACAGAGTGGGCCTACCATGGCCTTAGGAGTACAGCCAACAATGAGAATGAGATGGCATCATTTGCTGCTGGGAGGTTGGCCATGGGGTGCGGCTGAGGTGGGAAGCATGCATAATGAATTGCTGTGGTGGTGTAGGGGGCAAGCCCAAACAACGCCTGAAGAGACAGTTATGTCAAAGAAGGATCTCTTAATTTTATGTCTCAGCCCCTCCTGGAAGAGTACAGAACAATGTCCAAGAAATGGGCAGGTCACAGGAGGGGCCTGCTGTCACCTTTGTTTTTGCTTGTGTCCGGTATCTCAACCAATCCTGGAACTGGAGCCAACAACAACTATAAATAGGGGCTAGAGGGGATGTCCTTTCACTTTTTTCTTTGATACTATAAATAGGGGGCAGGAGAAGCCAGCCTGGCCCTTTTTCTTCTCTTCTGCTAGCCCCAGCTTCTCACTGCTGCTGCTTCCCTCCTTCGTTCTATGCCATGTGAAGCTCTCCATCGGCAGGCTTGGCGCTTCATCCAGGACTGGTGATCTCTTTCCTCCTTTTTATCTCTTTTTTCCCTCTCCTCTCTTTCTGTTAAAGTTGTTAAGTAATGTAAGGCTTACTTGAACTTCCTACAAAACTCTACAGCTTAGGCAGATATAATTGTGAGGGGGCTGATGCATATAGGATAACTGTTTTATAGAAATCTGTTATAAAGTTGTTTTTTTTCCTCTTATGTAGAGATCTTGAATATCTTTTCACCTTAATCTAACTAGGGTATTTGTGAACCTGGTCACCTCTCCCCCCCCTCATGGGCACAACGTGACAGGTGCTATGAGAGACAAGGCTATGAGGCTGTGGCAACCACTTGGTACCTTCAAAATATTCTTTCACCTGTGGATTTTGCCTCTTCTTGAGTGCTCGCATGTGTGCGAAGAACCAGTTTTTTTTTGGCATAGGTGATAGGGGTCAGTTTCTCTTCCTCTAGCTCTGACTTTAACATATTGGTCCCAGAGTTTGCACATAGGAAAGAGCTCTGTGGGAGGACTCTACTGATGCTATTTTTCATCTCAGTGACCTCAATTCTGAGTTGCATGTAACCATCCAGGTATCATGGTGAGAACTGAGATAGGTAGCCCTGAAAGATTTTAATTAAAAGTGGCACTGCTTGATAATGTGATAACAACTCATAGCAGTGAGGTGCCAGGCAGTTGCTAAATAGGGTGCCTAGTGAGAAAAACATTTCAATGCAGCTTTTCTCTGCTTTAACACTATGTAGGTACACACTGTTTGGAAGGGTTAATCCTATTCATCCATCAGTACATGGGAGAAAGAAAACTGTGGGATAATATTTCTGGTGACATGGGTTGGCTTAGAAAATTTTTCCTCATTGCACCCATTAATACTAAGAAGAAGTAAATGCAACCTATAGCAACTAGTATAAATCAGTGCTGCATTTTGTGCAAGCTGTCACTAGCTAAGTTGCCATTGAGTTCAAAGAAAGCGATGGTCTATATCTCTGCAGAGTTCAAACTCACAATAAGCAATTGCATGGTCTCTTTGATAAAATGAGTTGTGTCTACTGGCAAATGAGATAGCTGAGGATTGGAGTCCTCGCTGAGAGTCAGGCAAAGGAAAGGCAGCACAGTTCTCTGGTGGGGTGTGCTCAGTGATCTGTGCTGGGATTGGTTCTCAGTACCCAGAATCTGCCTGTCCAGTGCTTTCACCACAGCTCTAACAGTGATTAGGAATGGGATTTTAAGGTGTCCAGTGGGCTCATTCTAACAGAACAGAGAGAATTTTAAAAGAAGGCTGTGGAAGAGATTCCTGAACATTTTAAACTGCCTTTCATTTTGGTGCTTTGCCAGGTGTTCAGTGACATTAATAACTTCTGGATTCCTGACAAGTGTGTGGTGTGTATTTTTTAACTCAGGGCTAGACAGTGGGGAGTGCTGAGACAGATACGAGTCAGATATTTTTGTACCTAACTGTAAGGACAAGAATTACAGCTATGACCCTAATTGAAGAGCTTGGCAGAGCTGGTGTGCTTGGAATAGGTTAATCTTCAGTAGGGAATGAGGATTACATTTAACTGTTCCTAAATAGTTACAGATAAGTCAACATGTGATCTCCTACTGTTTACAGAGAGCTACTTTTGCTTACAAGGGAAACTACTGAAATTGAAATATTTGCTGAACCAAAACAGATTTTTTTCAAATGGCTCAAACATATGCCAAGGAATGGACATATGGTAGCTTTCTTTCTTTCCTCTGCTTAACCAGAGTAAGGACATACACTTGTAAAATTATTTCCAAAGATCTGTTATAGCAAGGATTTTCATTTTGCTAGTGGCAATGCAAATCAAAAGAATCATTTGCTTAGAACCACACAGAAGAAAGGAGACATGTAGACATAAGGAAAAGGATTATCAGTTCTAGTAAGTGATTTATCTGAATTTCCATGAGCACACGTGGATGAACTTTCCTTATCTTATATCTGATGCATTATAATACTCAGCGACAGACTTAACATTGCCCAGATTTTTGCCTTCTAAGCAAAACTAAATCAAAAAGCACACAGCAACTCTGAAGTTATGATTTATGTGATGTACAATTTCTGCATGCTGCTGACCTTGCCTTTTCTATTGACTTCCATTCAGAAAATTGCCTGCAAAAATCAAAATAAAAATCAGGTAGTCTGATGTAATTTTCCCTCAGCCATAGTTCTTTATCTGTGACAGGGACAGTGTGAGAGGCATGCCCAATGAAAACACTGCTGACAAGAAATCATATTAAAGAACTGATTTTGGATTACAAGCCTATACATATAAACACACACATATTCCCCCTGAAGGTCTCTACCATTCCCAGCAATGCATCCAGACAGCTGTATTGCCAGCTGTGCTCTCAAGAGTCGCTGCCTTTTGATTCTGCAACCTTCTGCATCACCGAATAGTCCGGCTGAAATCACAGAGGGAAAGATTCCATTCACTCCCTGCTGTTGATTTCTCCATGGTCTTCTCATTCACTACTAAATAGAGAAGGAAGAACAACTATTTTTTTACCTCTGCTTTCATAGCTTGGAAGACTTAAATTATCTTGTAACTGTCTGTGTTTCAAACTATGTTATTTTTCTGAAATTTAGCCTAATGTGTTATCACCCCTAGCAGCTTTGAAATACTTTGCAGCTCTTCTTCTCTTCTCTTCTCTTCTCTTCTCTTCTCTTCTCTTCTCTTCTCTTCTCTTCTCTTCTCTTCTCTTCTCTTCTCTTCTTCTTTTTTTCCCCCTGAATATTTTAAGGTTTGGCAATAGGACCATGAAGATTCTTCAGGACTGTGGTCCAAAAACCTGGAGCTGATGGATCAACGGTTGTTACACACCTTTTCAGATCTGCTCAGCTTTTCTTTGTGGTTTTATTATTCCAGCAATTTCCTCTGTAAATCAAAATGTGCACTCATTGGTGGGCATTTATCACTATAGTTACTGATATTACAATGTTCATTTTTACTAAAGAAATGTGAATATTAAAATATTAGCTTTGGATGATAGCTTATACTGAATATCACCTGACTTTTTAAATTTTCCCATGGTAAAACTGTAAAATTAAGCTTGTAAAGGAAAGCCAGATCAATGGAAATGAGATTGAAATGGGGCATGCAGGGTATGTTTATTGTAGTGACAGTCGATGTATAGCCCTGCTTATCAGATAGGAAAGTGCAGGTGAAATGCAATGTAAGTTTGTTACAGTTTCCAATCGCATGGAAGGTAAATGAAACCAGAAGGAAAGAGACCTTCCTATGACTCCATGTGCTCATTCCTGACATTGTTTTCATTTTAGATGTTTAAAACAAGATGTTTAAAATATTGGGCCACATAAATTCCGCATAATAAACTTTTAACAGAAAATTTCTCACTTGCCAAAGAACGCATCCAACATTTAATAATTGTGGATACATTGCTATAGCTCTATTTCAAGTCTGTGTCTTTTTTTTTTTTTTTTAGCTTGGGCAAATAAAGCTGTTTATAACAGGTCTGAGTAATGATTAACGCACACGGAGTTCTCGTAATAAAGTTGTAGTCTGCAGGTTTCTTTTCAGATTTGTTTCTGACCAGTAACTGGAGCTATTATATCTACAGTAAATGGACTGTTACTGAAGATCAGTGAGCCTTAAAAAGGTGGCTAAAGGTGGAAGAATGTGGCTCAAAAGTCAGATCTTGCTCTTGTATTGCATTGCAAGTGAAGTTTGGATGGCAAAGCGGCTTGATGCTAGAAGAAATTTGACCAAGGAACTTTATTCTCTTGAAGACAGTGGTTCTGCAAAGTGGAACAGGCTGAAAAGGAGTCTATATCAGGGCAAGTCCTGCAGGATACGAGGCTGCTGCACAGGAAGGGATGATGACTGCAGCTTTAACATTGCTTCCAGAGCAGCTATATGTTACTGTGACCAGTTCTGTGCCTCAGGTCCTCCTGGCCCCATAGACTGCTGTGCTGACTACTGGGATACTTGTGAGAACACCGTTGAGCCCACCAGGTCTGATGAACCTTGGCCACCTCCAGCATCAGGTGGGTATGGAGAAAAGGCTCGGATGGCATTAGTGCATCATGACAAAAATATGCTTGGAAGTAAAACTACCAATTAATCTTTAGAGTGCATGCATCCTAAAAATGTGCCTACAGATATAGTGGACAAAGGCATTGAATATGAAATCAGAATAATAATTATGTTTGCTGCTATTTCTTTGTTTCTAGGACATATTCTTAGAGTTGGCTAAATCTGAAGAGTTGGACAGAATCACTCCTCTTACAGCAGCTCAGTGCAGGAGTAGATGAAGGGATGTGAATAGACAGAGGATTTCTGACCAACATGATCTTTTTCAGTGTTTTATTACTCAGCTTGTAGTGGAAGTTCCCCCAGGAGTGCTCTAATCTCAGTCTTTTGGTTTTGGAACTAAAGATTACAGAATGGATCTACAAACATCTGGTCCTCACTTGGTTCCTGCAGAGGGTGCTAGAAGTTAGCTGGTGCTATATGTCTAGAACTGCGAATTTTAAGCCTAGGCAGCTTCTTACGAGGATAAACATGGCTGAAAATGTAGAGATTGTACCAAACTTTCAACAGCCTAAAACTGAAATGATAACACTATGACCTTTAAAAATTAACTCTTTCTTTGGGGCATCTCTGCTGTTTGCAGTCCTGCAATCAGACCACAGGCTCTTCAGGAGGCTGTGCTCTTAAGCCAGGCACACAGCCGATATCTGATAAGTGACAGCATCAAAAATGCAAAAGAAACTTGATTTTCCAAAGTGTTTCTAATCTTCTCAAAGAATGTTGTCCAATTTGTGTAAATAAAGATATTTCTTTCGTATTTATTTAGGCTGCACTGTTGTGTATTATTATTTCCAGCAGACTGGGAGTTGCTCTCATGAACTCTGCTTACGCTCCATGCACACTCCATGTTTCTGCTCCAGAGCTGAGAGCCTTGGGGTCTAGTTTTGCAGGCTGCTCATGGAAGGAAATCACTACAGAAGCTATGGTAGTTTGCCATGTGGGTCCTGGGACAGGTGCACCTCTGACAGATAAAATGTAACAGGAGGTTTAGATAAGGGAATTGGTGAGGTGAAATATTTTTATTGCCTTTTTCAATTCAACTTTTGCTTCTCTGTTCACTATTATGTAACTCCTGGGTTATACATGCCTGCCATAGATAACAATGATATTTTACCTATTTGAGCACCTTTATTTGCTCTATAGGTGTGCTATCGTCATATTTAATTTATATCTTGCTTCAAAACAAGCTGTTGTTTTTCTGGCCCTGCTTTGTTTCTTTGTTGATGGAAAATACTCAGCTTTCTGATACTTGCTATACAAACAACCTAAAGGATAAAAGGACAGCACCAAAGCAGGCAAAATACAGCAGGAGAAAATATAACTCAGAAGGAATATTCTAGAACTGAAGTGTCTAAGGAATAGGGAACAGAGAATGAAATTGGAAGAAGAAATGGAGAAAAAAGGACCGAATGTCAGAAGATGAAGCAAACAATGAAGCATTTTTAGAAGCGCTGTAAGTGTATTGGATAACTTTTACTAACTGAGACTGCTGCTGCCTTTGGCTAAGAATTGTTAAGGCTACCAGACCACATACACCTGGAAGATTTTGATCTTCTTATTGCCTGTGGCTTAGCTCTCAGTGCTTTCCAACACATGCTGCTTTAAACAAACCAATAAACTTCAGTGCTTTGCATGAGATAGAAGGAATATCAATAAAAGGGCACAATGCTGCATTTCTGTATCCCAATTTATCCTCTGCACGGCACAGAGGATTGTGTGCACCCTAAGCATTCATGTGCACCAGGCTGGGGGCCACTGCAAATATAACTTTGTGAAACTGCTTTGACTTTGTCTTTATGAACCCAGCATTCAGTGTGCTGCAACGGCTTCCCTGTATCGTTTCAGGAGAAGATGTGCACACACTCCTGTGATGTATGTCTTAGACACTGGACAGAAAGTCTGGATTTGGTGGTGGTGTTATTATTACGAGAACTGTTAGAGTTTTATTTATAGAATACACTTATTTATTTGATCTTTCTGTTTCACTTACTCTGATGGTACTAAAAGAGCCAACACAGTAGATCTCACAGTGGTGATGTTACAAAAGAGACACAGATTGTAATTTCACACTGTGCAATCAGACTCTGGCCTACATGTGTAAATGTCTGGAGACATTTCAGTTACAAAACTAATTACACAGATCTTGGGGCAGATTAGGTGAGAATTACAGGAATTTGGGAAGACTGAACCAAGAGGCAGGTCCTGCTTTATTAAGTCCACTTCCTTCCAAGCACAATCTTCACATAAGTCATCAGGATGCACCTCCAAATGAAATAATTTCCCACTTATTTCCACTATATCTCCCAGAATATTAATATTTCAGTCTAATACCCTGATGGCTGGACAATCTGCTCTTTTTCTTATGCAGCTGATGTCTTTCAGCTTTGATATCTCTACTCTTTGACGCTGATGCTTTAGACACATTTAGAGGCAGTAAGTACTCCTGACCCTTCAAGTTCTAATTTTGCTAGGCTAAGGAAACTATGTTCTTAATCTTCAATTCCCCAAGCATACATTAGTAGAAAGCTTCTTTTGTACTTGTTCAGGTTTGCATTTTTTCTCAGGTGTGGGTGGGCCAGCATAGCTCCAGTGGGGCTTCCTCCTGCCTCTGAGACAATGCTTTAATACTTCCTTCCATGGCTGTAAATGAAATATCTTGCTTGATGCTTACTTCCACCTACTGTCTGATCCTGGCACTGGGGCACTCTATGACAAACCATGACACCTGAGTAATTTGCCTTGGGTATTCTCTGAGAAAAGTCTCCATTGCTAGCAGAAATTGAATTAGAGCAGAAACTTCAGGCCTCAGAGTGCTTGGGTGAGATATATCTCACCTATGTCTGTGCTAGTTCATGCAGTCTGCTGCATGATTAATAGGATGAAATAGGCATTTATAATTAATTCATCATCTCTGGTCCACTTCTGCACTGTGGTATAAAATTAATTATGGCTTAGAGGTGAATATTTCTCTCGTGCCAATGAAGGAGATCTTCGTTTGTACCTTTAGGTTTACTCTGTAGAAGCATGAAAAATACTGTCTTTCACTTAAGTAATGTATACATTACTTGCATAATGTTACATACAATGCATAAAACCAATTCATTCAATAGTAGCAAGCGTTTTGAGTTAACTGACTTCAAGAACAATTTTTTTTCACACGTCTATATGTTATGTTGGCAGGTTGTTATAAAGATGGCCGATATTACGGAGAAGGAACAATAATTAAAGACAACTGCAATTCCTGGTAATGTTTCAGAGAACACAAAATTGAAATTAATTTAGCATATGTCATGAAACAGGAATTAAGTTGGTGAGCATCCCTAAATTCATATTTAACTTAATCAAATTCAAATGATTGGAAGAGTAGTACAGTATTAAGAAGTTATAGAATTGCTCTACAGCCAACATAAAAGAATGGTGAGGGAGGATGGACTTTCTAATCAAGACATGAGTATTAATGTCTTCCCTCAGTGACCTAATTTCTGTTCCTGTTCAGTATACGGGCTCTGAGTTGAAATGGTTTCATCACAGGTGTGTAAACTTACCTGAATACAGAGAAAATTGATATTATTAAAATCTGGGGGAATATTTTTATAACAGCTTCCTCTATTACTTTGGCAAAAGTGATCATCTCTAATTTTATTTTAAAAGGGGAGAATTTAACTTTTGTAGAAAATAGATGAACTGTTTGAATACCCCATTCCCTGTCCTGGGACATCGGATGGAACAGCAGGGATGCTCTGTTGCCATTCCTGGCAGTCAGCAGGTGATCCCCTGCACTGCCAAAGTCAAGGCAGCCCAACGTGCTCCAGGGACATTGAAACAGGGCTGGTGCTCCATCTGCCTTGAACTTGTCTCAAGATACTTGGAGAAAAGTGTCTACAACCATGGAGCTCCTTTCTGGTTCTTCAAAGCAAAAAAACTAATTTTCAGTACATCATTCTTTTCTCCCTGGCGTGGCCTCACAGAAATGGAAGCAAATTTTGTCAAAGATGAGGTTTTCCACAAGCTGTAACCTTACCACCTCATTCCAATTAGGATTCATTAGGTAGTGAAGTGGCACTACGTATGATTTTGTTTTCATAATTACTGTGACATTTGTAGTTTAGGCTTTTCGCCTTCTCCATTCTTCATTCTGCTGTAAAAGTACAATTCATTTTCTGCTCAATTATATTCTTGCCCTTTCAGCAAATGCATCCAAAGTAACTGGAAGTGTTCAAATGAAGTATGCCTTGTTCGCCCAGACTTGATTCACTACATCAATTCTGGAGATTACGGGTGAGAATACTTCTATTTTAAGTAAAAGTATTGTAGTGCTGTAATAGTAAAGCTTTGTAATAGAAAAAATGCAGAAGTGTTGGATCCACTCGAAAGCTCATAACTTGTAATCTGCACTTACATGCTATGTGGTCCTCTTTGCCCTTCCCCTCCCCAGTTACATCCTATCTATGCGATAGTAAATGCACATCTGTGAAACTTCTAAAACTCTAAAACTCTTCTAAAACTTCTAAAACTCTAGCAAAATATAGATTTTAAAATAGAAAGATACTGAAAATCTCATCCTGGTAAGAGTCAATATTGGAAATACCTATCTAAAATATTCTCCAAATTACTGTAATTCTTTTGCTCACAAAATGCTCTTTAGATCATCTTCCTTATTCCTCATTTTAATAGTTAGGAGAAATATTCACATATTTATTTATTTTTTACCCACTTTCCACTACCAGAATTTTAGGTAGTATTGGAAGAAGGGAGAATAGGCCAAAGGGATCAAGATATCAGATCTTTGTGAGACTCAGTGGTTTTCTTGCTACCAGTTCTTACTCCTTGCAATGCAGAGCAGTGTCATGGCAGATTGCCTGCCTAGCAGTTGAGGAGCTAAATTCACTAATGAAGTCCATGGAAGTGCTCAGGTTTCAAATTGACTCTGTGATGAAACAGATTGTACTTCATGGGAGAGATTTAGACTAAGGGAGGTAGGATAGACAATTGATTTGGGCACCAGCAGCCACTGAGTAATTAAGGCCACCTGGGAGACTAGATTCTGCAGGTGTTTATATTCTCCAGTGACTACAGGCAGGCTGAGTAACAAGGCTTCTTCTTAAGGTAGTGTGAATCCTACCTGTCTTCCACGCAAGCAAGCAAGCAAGCAAGCAAGCAAGCAAGCAGGCAAGCAAGCAAGCAGGCAAGCAGGCAAGCAGGCAAGCAGGCAAGCAGGCAAGCAGGCAAGCAAGCAAGCAAGCAAGGAATGGGTAAAGAGAGCACCCTCCCCTTGACTCAGGCCTTCTCCAGTAATGCGTACAATTTTAATTTGCTCCAAACGTGTATAAATGTGAGTTCTTTTCTGTTGTGTATATGTTTTGAAGGGGTTAATGCTAGGTTCTGAGTTTAGCCTGCCTTCATCAGATAGACTAGGGAAGGAGTACTTAAAGACAGCCCTTTTTCTGAATATTGGTGCAAAACAGGCAGAACAGCTGGGCTTTCTGCTGCATCAACAGTGTCTCATAACTACTGCTGGTGCTTCAGCATTTGGAGGCAATGTAACCCACTGTATGAAGCTGTTGTCACCTGCTTTGAAGCATTATGTGAGCACAACTTCAAGACAACTTTAATTGCCTTGATCGAGCACCTTATTTTCTAGTATTTCTCTGAAGCACTGCACACTCATCTGCTGAAGGCTGATACAATGCTGATCTCAAATCACCAGTTTTCATATCGTGTTCTTCCAGCCTACATTTACTCACAGAGGAATAGCCTCATTCGTATCTAATAGAATGTCTTGAAACATAATTTGAAACGTTTATTTCTGGATGTTATTTTTAGTGGTGCTCTTATAGAGAAGGACTATATAGAGGAGAAAATATTATGAACAGCGTCTCTAACATTGCTTTGTTTGCTTGTTTTCTGTCTGTGAGGAAGATGGAAAGCTGACAACTATACTCAGTTCTGGGGCATGACACTGGAAGAAGGTTTCAGAAAGCGCTTGGGCACATTACCTCCATCTCATTCCTTGCTGAACATGAAAGCAATTCCAGTATGTATTGTGTGCAATTGATTTATTTCTTTTTAATAAATTAATTTTTTGGAAAAAAATGTGGACAATTATAAGATTATGATTAAGGTATTAAGGACTAAGTGCCTCCACATTGCATGTGAAAGTCCTAGAATAGTTTTCCTATCCATAGAAAGCGTGGCCATATCCATTGATATCAAACAAGGAGGAGTAAAAGCAAGTGCTATACATTGGGAAACTGCACTAATATTCACTTATCAGTGTTAGAATCATAGAATGATTTGGGTTAGAATGGACCTTAAAGATCATCTAGTTCCAACTGCCACCTGCTGTGGGCAGGGAGACTTTCCATTAGACCAGGTTGCTCAAAGCCATGTCCAGTCTAGCCTTGAAACCTCTAGGGATGGGGAATCCAGAGCTTCTCTGGACAACCTGGTCCAGTGCCTCACCACTCTCTGTGTAAAGAACTTCCTCCTAATACTGAATCTAAATCTCCCTTCTTTTAGTTTGAAGCTGTACTCCTTGCAGGAGTAAGTAGATCAAAGATTTGCAAAATGCAGTAACTGTAACACATTTTGGCCTTTGGTTTTTACATAGTTCAGGCAAATGATGCCATTGGAATATCTGTTTGAAGTCAATTGTCATTGATTTTTTTATATGTGTAAAGTAGACAGGTTTCCAGATAGGAGGAGTTGCAGGGATGGCAGTGCTTAGCTAACAGTTGGCAAGAAATATGGGAAAGAGGGAGAGGATCATGTGCTTCTGCAATAATTTTCACAATCTTAACTCTTTTGCTTGAAGCAAAAGACTGGCTTGCTGAAAATCATACTAAAGAGGATTGTCAGAGCCAGAAGTTGACAGAAATTGGGCTTTGGCAATCTGCCTCATGCGCTCTGTTAGACTACTCTTCTCAGCCAAAGAAGGATTGATTTCACTTGAAAATGTTCTGTCAAAAAGAAAAGAAAGAAAATGAAAGAGAGAAAGAAAATGACATAACAGACTTTTCAGTGCAATATTTACTGTGTGGGGGAATTGGTGCAAATTGCTGTTGTTCAACATTGAGATTCAAGAAAATTTGAATTAATTTTTACTGTTGTTGTTTGCTTTTATTCTTGAGAAATATAGTCTAAGGCTTGTATGGCATGAACAAGAAGTGGGTATATTGCACCTAGCTCAGAGATTGACATTTACACTGACTTCTGTCTATTCCCACATTAGACAAATAACATCTAGGGAAACAAGAAAAAGAAGGGTAAAATAAAATATTTACCATATTTCCTCTCTTCTATTCAGTTTGAATTAGCTGGTCACACAGTGCTCTTTCATTATACCCAGCCCATTAATTCTTTGCTATTAAGTTTCCTGTAGCTTCTTTGACTGGTGCACTACTTATGGCCTTGTTTCCACAGACACATTTCTCAGGCACATGTTCTCCTATGCTACCTTATTTTAAAATCTGAAAGCCATAACTCAACTATCTTTGGCCCTTCCAGAAACTTCCAGGAGCTTGAATGCATTCTCTGAAATCCAACTCCATGCATTTATCCATTTAACCCTCAGGAAGTCCTGGAAGTTCTTAGAGGCACATGCTTTTCACAGGAGCCTGAGAAATCTTTCTCACTGCTAAAAATACAAAGTAATAACCTCTTCATGACTTTTCCAGTTTCTCCAGAGCTCTGAACATACAGAAAATCAGTCTGAATTGTACAGAAGCCCATCTTCAACCTATGATTTCTCTTCAGAAGTAATCGAAACTTTCTTGTTCATACCCTAGGGTTTCTCTATTGGATTGTTTTGATGTAAATATATTTTCATGCGAAGCTTCAAAACTCCCTATTTGTGTCCTATTCTGTAGTTTTCTAGAGGAACATCAACTCTTTAGTGTCTTGGTTCTGTCTCAGGAGATTTTCTATCTGACACATTTTAATACTTCCCATAAGTGTAAGAAAACATACTTCTATTCATGTAAGCAAAAATTTCATCAGTAGATAATTCCATGTGAAAGGGCAGTTATCAGGATTTAAATATTTACTGAGTGAAGATGTGGTAAAGCATCTCTTCATAGCTGTCCCAATATCCATTGTCACTGCATGATCCAGCAAGTTCATAACGTGGATCAGGCTTACCAGGGGTAGAAACAATTTCTTTCAATTGTCAGACCAACAGCAGTCATAGCATAAACTTCTGCTTCCCCTTCCATGATTTTTTTTTTGATATTTTGTGAAGTTTGTCAACACTTTTAAAAAGACCCAAGTAATAAAAACCAGATAAGCTTTATTAAAGTGTTTCTATTAATCTTTTGTACCCAGGTGACAGCTGAGAAGAGAGTAAAAAGGCATAAATGATGAGAAATTCAAGAATGAAGATTTTTTAAAAATATTTTTTCCGAGACTGTCTTCAAACCTTAATGGTTTGGCCTTCAAGTGACCTTGTTGAGTACTAATTTACCTGCAGCCCAGGGAACTGCTTACTTACTGTACATAAAAAAGGGCTAATTAAATGTTTTTGTGTTCTCTGGGATTATTACTGTCTTTCCCATTTTGCAGGTGAGAAAACTGAGAGTCATTTGCCCAAAGTCACGTACATAGCTGATAAAAATGTCACAATTAGCGTTTGAGAGCTTTTGGCTCTAGTTAGTACTGATCTGATTAAAAGCTGCTAGCTTTGCCAACGGAGAAAGAAAACTATAGTTATCCGTACATTACAAAGCCATTTCTTCAGCATGCTACTGGTCTGCTGTCTCAGAAATAAATGACAGCACCTGGTAACTAAGAGGTTGCTGTTTTCCACTGTGTCTTGAGAGAAACAGGTTTTTGTATAGAAGGGACTCTCTGCTCAGTTGTGTCAGGGGAAAAAAGATTCCAGATCGTAAAGCACTTCTGTGCTAATCACTTCATATCCAGAGCAGAGTTTTAGTTCTTAGCAGTATTTGTTTGTGGAGTATAGGTTTTTCTGTTGTTTCACTGACTGACATATCCAACTGCAAATCTGCTTTCACAACATTACTGAGTGACAGAGATACATTTCCTCTTAGGGAAAAAACTTACAAGTTGTAGGTGAAGTCTGAGTATTCCTTTATAACTCCCAACCTTCCTCTTTTGCCCAGACTGGGAAACTCTTAAATCTTCACACGTATGCATAGAAAACATGTGAAGGTTTAAAAGAGTTTGCCATTCATTTTCCTGATTCCATTGTGCCATGTAATGGTGGATTATGGAGCATATGTTGGGAAACAATTGTCTGGATTCACCATTGGTCACAGAACAACAGTGCTTCTCAATATTAGGGTAGCAATTACTCAGACAAAAAGCTAATGTTTCAGGTCAATCCTGCAGTTCTTAATGGCAGGGCTGAAAGGCTAATGAGGGATTTGTTGTAGGATTTACAATTTGAGGCTATTAAATACATTGGCAGAAGCTTAAGAGATATGTAAGTTAACACATTGGCTCAGACCAAAGATCTATTTAGAATTTTCTTTTTCTCATCTACCTCATTCAGAATGTAAGTGGTCATTGCTCAGGATAGCATGCTTAACATTTGCCAAATTTTGCTTATTTACTTCTTGATAGTGAGCAGACTATGAAACATTATTCATCTGGGATTTTGCCAGTACAATTATTCTTCGAAGTCAACCTTGTGCTTGTGCTTGCTCATGAATCACAGAATCACAGAATAACTTGAGTTAGAAGTAACCCACAAAGGTCATTGAGTCTGGCTCCTGGCTCTACACAGGAGCACTCAGAAATCAAACCCTATGTCTGAGGGTGTTGTCAAACACTCCTTGATCTTCAGCATCTTAGGGCTGTGCCCGCTGCCCAGGGGAAACCTGTTCTCCTCTGGTGAAGGACTTTTCCTAATGCCCAATCCAACCTCCACTGGTGAAGCCCCATGCCATTGCCTTGGGTCAATACAACTCTCTCTGACTTCAGGGAACCATCCTGCAAAAGAGACTGCAGTGACTCCATGGTTGCAGTTTTGTCCATCCACATCTATAAAACACCACACAGAGGTTGGATCTCTTAAATCATCTTTCTGTTGCCGGAAGCTTTAGAGCTGTGATTTTGTTTGCTTTGATGTCTACCTGGAAAGAGCATTATTAGTGATGGTTAAGCCAGATATTTAACTTTGCAGACTTTTTGTGCATGTCATTTGTGGCTGCAAGTCCCATATTTCTAACAATATTTTGAAGAAAGCAGAATTCTGATTGCAATTAATGCAAATATTAATGTCATAGCACGATTAATATTGCTGATTTGTTACATGTGAAGGTATAACTTTCAGATGTATATAAATGACTTAAGCATTTGCAGTATACTTTAGAAATGAGTAATGGTATTTCAGACTTTCAGGCTGTATGTAAACTTTATGAATCTCAAATGCTTCCGAATTACTGGGTCTGGGGTATGCAGAGATGGTATCAATCCATCTGCCTGTGACTGATTCCAGTTTCATAGCTGATAAAGACCTGAGACACAAGCTTATTTTTCCCTCACCCACTTCTCAATTATTGATTTTTCTGTGGGAAGAAAATCAGCATATACAAACTGGATGAAGATGTTACTGTTTCCCAGTGCATGCCAGAGAATCATCTGAATACAGCCAAAGTTGTAAAGTTGAATTTCCCAAGTAGTTCTAAAAGAACTTGTAAGAATTGGGCTCAAATATTGTCTAAGGAATAGGTATCTGATCTTGTAAGCCACACAGGCAATTTAGAATAATTGTGCAGCAAGACATTCGGAATCAGAAGACCAAGGATAAATAAACCAAAATAAAATAAAGGATTTTTTTAACAGGATAGAAGCCTTTGTTTCCACATGTGAGCTTGCTAGTAACAAATAATTATCAGGAGTGTTTTGTTTGGGAGCAGGATCTCATATTCTGTATATTGTGTTTTCATCTGGAATAATTGCTCTGAGCGATTGTTTGAGACAGATTTCTAGGCTGGGTGTCCAAGGTGGCTGTATGGCCATTCCTTTTTCTCTTGTGCAGCATAAGCACTCTGTCCATAAAGTTATCTCATTGTTTTTAATTGTTTAATGTTTTTTTCATGTCAAACATAGGGCAGATTACTAGCAGCTGTGCCAGATGGCTCCTGCATATGTGGGTATTTGTGCAATTCTTACAGGACATAAATTAAGACAGAGAGAAAAGTATGCAAAAAATGACTGTTCAAAAGGTTTTTCTGAAGAGTCCATGAATTCATATCAACTCAACATCAGATTGCAAAGTAGAAAGAAAATCAGTGGTTTTCATTCTGGAATGAGAATAAGTGCTGGAAATTGAAAAACCTCTGTGTAAAAGATGAATCAATTAATTTACCCTCTGCTGATTCCCCACTGGTAACTAGAATTTCCTATTTCCAGCCAAGTGGAAAGCATGTCAAGATGAATAGGGTAACATGTTCCTAACTTCATTACTGTTTGCAGCAGAATGCTTTTCCTTCCAAAAATGTCATCTGGGTCATAATTGACATGTTTCACAGGGAAATGTTGCTTGAGATAAAAATCAGATAAAAACTGGACAGGTTACTCAGGTTGGCAGCTGTGGAGCTCAGCTTTTCAGCACAGCTACTGGAGTGCCAGAAAGCCTTCAGCTCTCAGGGCACCCACAGCACCCAGGCACAGAACAACCACCACATAACTGCTTGGCAAGTCACAGCTGCCAATGCTTGAGGCTTCCTCATTCAAACATTTTGTTTAAAACAAAAATAGGGTCATTTTGAAAACAAAGTTAGGAAATGAAGCAGATATACATCTACTGCATTTTGTTTTAGGGAAGCTCCTTTCCGGAAGAAAAATTTCCTGAGTTTTTTGCAGCCACTTATGCATGGCCTGACTGGATTCATGATCCTTTGGACCAACGAAACTGTGGAGCATCCTGGGCATTTTCAACCGCAAGTAATATTCTTTTTTTTTTTTTTTCCTCCTTTCAAAAACATCATGTATATTAAATGTATAATGAAAACTTATAGTGATTAGTAATCAAGTAATTTCAACTTTCTGTTCAGTTTTTATTAGCAAAAATTTACAATTGAAAATGCTACACTTTTCATTCTAAGATGTGCCAATTTAAGCTGTAGAGATTTTCCTTTGTTTTTCATAAGTTTTTGTATCATATGGAGACTTCTTTTGTGACAGGCCATAGGAATAAATCGACTAGTGCATTTTATCATTAAGAATGAAGTGACTCTTACTCATCTACATTTGTTGCTTGACTTGAATGTTTTAAAACAAGTAGATGTCATTTTATATACACAGTACACTTACATATCTGTGCATTTGCCGGAGGAGCAAATGGAGGAATTAAGTGCTACACCATTGCTTCATAGGCACTTCCATGTCAGGTGACATTGTGTCAAGTTGCCCCTCTGCTGCCATCTGTCACACAGCAACAAGATGTAATGGAATATTGGTTGGAAGATTCAACCTCTACAGCCATGCCACCAATATCCACCTCTAATGTTCTGGATCCATATAATAAAATGTGAGGCATTACTTTCAGAGCAGCCCTCATATCTTCTGCTGAAGTTAACTAATGAATATGCAGGTACAAATATAGAGATTATTATATGAAATTATGTAAATATCTACTTTGATATTTAGATATATGCCAGTATATCTACTAATAAGTTGCTTATGGTACTTCCTGTTTTTATTACTCTCAAAATTCTTATATAATATCATATTATATTTTATATATACATATATATATAATATTGTATATTTTATATATACTATATAGTAGATATATATTATATTATCACAGAATCACCAAGGTTGGAAAAGACCTTCAAGATCATCCAGTCCAACCATCCACCCATCACCAATGGCTCTCACTAAACCATGTCACTCAACACAAAATCCAAATGTTCCTTGAACACCTCCAGGGTCAGTGACTCCACCACCTCCCTGGGCAGCCCATTCCAGTGCTTGACCACTCTTTCAGAAAAGCAGTATTTCCTAACGTATATTCTGTATATTCATAACGATATCCTATTATATATAATATCCCAATTGTTTTGTAAAAACATGTCCCCAGACAGAAAATGTTGATGTATTTCAGTCAGTCTTTCACAACAACCACTCAGAAGCTCTGAGTAATTATTTGGTTTTGATTACACAATTTCTTTCAAAACAGGTGTCGCAGCAGACAGAATAACAATTCATTCTGATGGTCAAATCACAGACAACCTTTCTGTTCAGAACTTGATCTCTTGTGATACCAAGAATCAACATGGATGTGGTGGTGGCAGTATTGAAGGTGCTTGGAGATATTTGAAAACGCATGGGTAAATATTTTATTTATGTTTCATTTTATCTTAAACCAGTCACTGAAGTTACATGTGTTGTAATGATTTCTGATCTTTTGTGATGAAAAGATTTAGCTCTGTTTTAGATCAGATTACCCATATTCATCTCATCAGGACAATCACACTCTAATGTACACCTTCTTCAAAATACCGTAGTGAAGTCCAGGAACTGGGAAGCATTCCCAAAGAAGTAGGTGAAAACTATTTTGAACAAGATAGCTAAGGGCTCTTGCTGCATAAGCTATTCAACTATTTAGCTCCCTTTCTCCAAGCCTCATTATATCTCTATTTTTTCATTATGGTAACCTCTCCAACTATAAGAAACACAAGAAAAGTCTTTCTTTTTGTGTCTAGGAAAATATCATAAATGCAGTCAGAGCTTGTATTGTGTTTGGGATACATGCTGTTGATGTTAAACAACCTTGAGAAAGCAAACAGCTGCATAATACAGTATTTTAAATATTCAAAATGTCTGAACACTGTCTTCAAATAAAACAAATTGTAATCATGTTATCTCAAGATTGTTCCAAAATGCAGCACTGTAGCAAGGACTGTACATTAATCTTTCTTCCTTCAAGTTGGACTTCTCAAAATTAACGATCCACAAGCCCTAAGTGGACAGTTAGAAGCCTGTTGAAATGGCAAGTAATACTCTATATAAACACAGAATTGCTTAGTTTGGAATGAACATTTTTTTATTTTTGTTATTTATTTTGGAGATCACTGCTAGAAGCATGAGTAGTTTCAAAATTAGACAAGATTTCTTACAATCATGTCCCCTGTCATGTTTTGAGAATCTCCAGTTATGGGGGCTTCATAGACTTTCTTGCAGTGTTCAATCATTCTTGCATCAAAGAACTTATTTAAAATTTATTTTATCTAATTATTGTCTTCCTTGGCAAAACTTGTCACCAGTACCTTTCAGCTGTACATTGCAAAGAAGAGTCTTATTCTGTCTCCTCTGTGATCTCTCCTTATGTAGTTGAAGACAGTAATTAGAACTCTGTTTAGCCTTCTCCAGGCCAAAAAAAATTAATATCCCTCAGCTTCTCCTTGTATATCACATGCTTCAGTGGCTTACACACCTTCGTGGCCCTTTACTTGCCCAGCTTGTCGTTGTCATTATCTTGGATCCTGTGCCTGAACACAGCCACAGTGTAAGCCCAGATGTAAGCCCACAAGTGACAGTTTGAGGGAAATTACCATTTTTCACGATGCCTTGGCTATGCTCTTGCTAACACAAAGCAGTATTGTGGATCCACTTTTGTTGAGAGGGCCCACTACCACTACACATTCAACCTGATGCAGCAGACACTTTCCTGTTAAACTGCTTTGTACACAGCACTGCTGCATGGGCAGTTTTGTCTCACCAGTAGGATAAGTGTCTTTGTTAAACTTCATGAAATTTCCGTCACCTTCTTTCTCCATCTTCTCAGTGTCCCTGTGAATAAAGCCCTGCCCTCCACCACACTGACCACTCACCAACAGTCTGGCATCCTCCACAGATTTACTGAGCATGTTTCATGTTCCACTCTCAAGACTCTTAATAAATGACACAGTCTTAAGGTAGGGAATGTCACTAGTAAAGAGCTACTAGTCACTAGTCACAGGACAGTCTAGTTCAGTTTTTGGCTTTGAAACCAACTTACCCAACCTCACTCTCTCACAGGCTGAAGTAGAAATTGCTGAATGTGTTGCTAAAGTCAAGGTAAATTGCATCCTATGCTTTTCTTATTCACAGTGAAGCTAGTCATGTCATTATAACCAGATTACTTCATCTGGCCACCTCATCATGGGGACACATGATTTGCCCTGGTGAATCTGTGCTGTTTCCAATCAAGTCCTTGACCTTTATGTGCCTGGAAACAGCTTCTAGGAGGATTTGCAATAATTTGATTTTATATACTCTATACTTCAGCTGTTTCTCACACTGTAAAACTTATTTTTGTGCTTTCTGCTCCATACAATAATCTATTTCCCCTCACTTTCATGCACTCCCATCCCTTAATCTTTCTTTCATGTACCTCGTATTCATAGGCAGAGAGATCTCAGGTCTGCTGTCTGTCAACTTTTAATTTTAGTTTACAAAAAAGCAAACAATCCATGAACAGATCAGGAGAATGTCAGATGTGCTGAATCATACGTCATAGTTGTCATGGTAGCCAGGGGATCGAGGTGAAGACCAAAGCACTGTCATTCACACAGACACTGAGTATATAAAGCAATCATTCTGCTTGTCCTCAAGCGTACCAGAAAGGTGATCTATTTTTGATCAGATCAAATGAGGATTCCAGGGCTTAAACACCAAACTAGTTTTGAATTTTTTGAGTGGAAGACCCTCTAGGTAAGTGATTACAGCAGGAAGTAAGGGACTTCACCTTGGTAAAAGCCTCAGCGCCTCATTTAAGTAAAGACGAAAGAGTAAAGAAATTAGTTATGGCTTTACATTTTAAGAAATTGAATAGGGTCCTTCTAATCTGTAATTCATGCTCTTAGCAGAGTAAATATAACTCTAGCAAGAGTTGTTTGTCTACAACGTTAAGGATAGGAGAACAAGATTTTCCAGTGTAAATAAGATAAAAGATTCATTTTGATCAGTATTATCTCCAGAGCTGTTGGAGATAGCTGTTTTTAAAGAAAATGGCCTAAAGAATGCAGAAATAGGATAGATTTTCTGGGTTTCTGTTCTCCCTGTCTGTTAGCTCAGTATATATACACCATGACCCCATAATAATAAATTTCTTCCTATAGCAAGAAGCTATAATTTTTTTTACCTAAAGCAGTGTGGTTACTGACACAGTGTTTTCCAGAGGCAGTTTAGGCATACAACAGTTAGTTCCTTCAATAAAAAAAAGTTGTGCTGAAAATGTATGAAGCACTTTATTTACCTAGCTGTATCTATACTTCAGATTTCAAAGGATGTTCACCATTACTCCTTTGCTTGACATCTCAGTGTATTCACCAGAGACTTTTCAGCTGACTGAATCACCAGTTTGCAGGGCAAACATTTGAAGGTTCTCCAGATATCTGACACATCTCTGCAGTCCACAGCCATCTTTTCAGTCCATCACACATCATTCATGTTGCTCCTGAGCCAGCTCCTACACATACAGCATCACTGCACTCTTACAGATGTTTGCCTGCCACCCGCATTTATCCCCCATTATTGATTCATAAAAGTACCAAACTTGAAAATATTTCTACTTCCCATTTTTATAAACAGTTCTAAATGCTGATTTCTGTTCTTTTAAGTTTTAAGTTCTTCAAGTTTAAAAGGTCCGTCAGGATTCCACCTTAAAGAAAAATCCAAAGAATGAGGACAGATAATGGAGAAACACAAGAATGGCTATACAGGGTCTGAACTGGGGTCTTTTTAGCCCCAAGAGAAAAGGATAACACATTCATCTAAAAGCCCAAGCAAAAACAATGGTTCACTAATGTGAATCACTAAAGTCATTTTTCTTTCTAATGCCCACAATACTTTATTTTCATTATGAAAAATTGGAAATGCATGGGGTAAAAGTCTGAGGTGTCTTTTGAATGAGTCGTGAGAAATGGTGCTTGCTTCCTCACACTTTCAGGTAACTTTTATTTTATGAGCCTGTATATGGCAATCAATTTTTTTTTTCGTTATCTCCGTAGCCTGCAATAGGTAGAAAGCACATTGATTTTCTATGTAGAGTTGTAAATTTTCACAGCAGGTGTTCAATGATGTATTAGAGTTCCTGGTTTTCTGGTTTCTGAAGTGTGCTTATCTCCAATTTTTGATAGATTTTCAGGAAAAAAGAGTGCTAGTCTAAGCTATCCCAGTGAAGTCAGTGGAAGATTTCCATAAAGCTTGATAAGGAGAACTTTCATAAAAACTGAGCACACAGTTAACAGTGAAAACTGCTAGATGAGTAGCCAACTGCTAGATGAGTAATTTAACTCTCCTTTTCTCTCTGTCTTTCTCCATTAATTAAAGAAAATGTCTTTATTCTAATTCCAATTATTCTTAATTATAAAAATCTCAATAGCAAGTCACAAATTGTGAGGAATCAGTTTGGTTTGAAAATATCTTTTTTTGAATGTGGTGCTGGAAATTACGATTTATATAAATATATGCATGTGCACACAAAACGAGCTGTTATTTCTACACAGCCATAGAAATGAAGCTTAATCAATTTTGTAACAAGCAATAACAGCCCATGTACATGTGGCCTAAATACCTATCATTACTGAATTGAAAGCTGGGAATACAGATTGTCTTTAGATATTTTGGAAGGGATTGAAAGGGTTTGTCTGTGAGTAAACTGAAGATCTAAATGATAACAGCCTAACTACCCTTAGATGGACAGTTACTTTTCATGTAGACAGAGTTATTGCTTCTTGCATTTTCTGGGCATGTTGGTCTACTTTGGGAGGAGGAAATTTGCTAAGAAGAAGGACTTTTTCCTTAAAGTTGTTCTACCATCAAAAGCTTAATGGGAAAATACCAAGAGAAGTTGAAGCACACATGTACTAATCTTGTAAAAATCCTGATGGATAAGTAAACACAAGCAAATCTAATTATCCTTCAATCTGTGTGAATATAGTTTGTTCATTTTCAGATTCAGCAAGTTCAGTATATCTGGTGACCTACTAAAATATGAGGACTGCTCTGAATGTAATGCCTCCCATTTTATTGTGTTGTCCACAGTGTCAGAGGCTGATGCTGGTAATACAGCAGTAAAGGTTGAACTTCCCTCCAGTATTCTGTTCCATTTTGTTGCTGTGCAACAGATGGCAGGAAAGGGGCAGTCTGACACAACGTTGTCCAAAATGGAAGTGTGTATGAAGCAGTGATGTGTCACTGAATTCCTCCATGCAGAAAAAGTTGCTCCCATTGATGTTCACTGATGTTTGCTGAATGTTTATGGAGACCAAACAGTGGATGTGAGCACAGTGAGAAGGTGGATGGTGCGTTTCAGCAGTGGTGCCAATAACAGAGTGTCACTTCCACTGGTGCAGATCTTTACAAGCATGGAATGTGGGCTCTTGTTCATTGCTGGTGAAAATGCACAGCTAGTAGTGAGGATTCTCTTTAAAAAGTAATGTTTTGTGGCTGAGAATTTGCTCTGTCAGATAGTGTTATTGTGCTCTCTGAATCCAGTCTTTAGAAGAGGCCTTCTGTTATGTGTTCATGATATCATCACAGAAATGTGTGTATTGTTTTAGAAACATCTAGCACTGTAATATGGAAAACTAGAAAGACCTAGAGTATGAAAATTATAAAATAATTAGTGGAAGATTCAGTGTGCTTTTACTTGAATATTTCAAATTGATAGCAAGGGCATTTTAAGCTTGCTTGCTTCAATTTATTGAAGGAAAAAGAATGTTCAGTTAGCCAATTCAGTTGAACAATTCAGAATAAGCAATTTAAAATTAAAAAAAAAACTTACTGTATGAGGAAGCAGTTCATTGTAGTTAAGGTTTTGATGTATTGCCAAGGCAAAGAATTAAAACCTCTCCTTTCCATTTTTTGAAATGACTTTTTTTTTCACTATCTTTCTCTATACTTGGATGTAAGGATTGCTCTTAACCTGTTCTTCTACTTTGATTTAGCACTTTGGAGATCTTTACATCCAGAATTAGCATGAGTTTAAATCTCAGGTGATTTACTGCAGCCCCTCTGCAATCACTCCTCTGACAGAGTCAGTGCTAAATTCCTTTGAGTCTATGAAGGCTAGAGAAGAATGACCCAGAGGAAGCTCTCTTTGCTATTCAAAGATTTGTCTTTGATTACTTATGAACAATAAATTAATTTCACGTATTTTCTATTGAATATTTCCTCCATGATTCTTGCAATCTATTAATTTTAATTATTTTGAAATCATTATTACAATAAAAGCTGCCCAGTGATGACTGGACTTAGTATTTTCAAAACACAGTCTTTTTAGAGTATATAACTTCATTTAAAATTGTTAAAAAGGAATCTTATTTTCTGCAAGTAAACTCTTAAACCGTGAAAGCAAAACCATTGATGCAGATTTCTAATGGGTGATGTGAAAAATTTACTTACTGTATGTGTGACTGCAAATCCTCTGCATTTGGAAAAGCTTTTGAGAAATGTTTCTAAGTAATGAGGATGGTCTTCAGGATCTGCATAGACCAGACACGTCACACTGTTACGTCATGTCTGTCATTTTAGTGACATTTAGCAGAAAAGATCCTGCTGTCAACAACCAGGGTCCTACAGAAGAAGCCCTGTGGCTTCTTCTCCCCCTAGGATTGTCACCAACTTTTTCTGAATATTAGGTGACACATATTCACCAGCCTTTAAGTCTACCTCTGTTTATTTTTTTGGTCCACATTCTCTTCCAGGCAATGCCCTGTCCTTCTCTGCTTCCTAACTTTATCAAAGTATACTTTCTGAATTCAGCCTGAGTTTAAACCTGCCAAGATGAAATTTTCTCACATGATGGGAAAACAAATCCTACAGATAAAGCAATTCTTTAACCGTATTCTCATCTTTGTAAGCATAAATGCCTGTAAGTTGTTTCAAAACAGCACAACTCTAAATTCTACCACTGAAGCCTGTTGAGTTTTACCCTTTCTCTGTTATGTATTTTGTTATAGAAAAGTCCCTCCTGCCAGCATCACTATAGAGAATTTTATTTTTCCCATGAATCAAGACAATCAACCCAGTCACCAGGCCATGTCTAAATGCTTTTCCTAGTATGTCTCTGCAGCTGGAGCGCTCATTAACTCAGTTCTGTGCTCTCACTTGTACTTATCTCCCACTTGTTTATCTTTTAAGGAAGTGCATTTCTTCCAGAAGACTTTTGTTAGTGTGAATTAAGCTACTGACATTAATTGCTAAGCATCGTGCCTCTCTTTGGAAGTACCATCAAATTCACTCGTTTGTAGCAAAGCAATTATTTGTTTTACCCAAACCTTTAAAAAAATTATAGAGAATTCTTCTGTCAACAGAAGTTTACAAAGAAAAGCGAGCAAATTTTCACTTTATATGTGAGAAAAATATGAGGCCAGTCCATTTTAGCTGAAAGAAATAAAAAGGCCTATTGCTTCTCAGCAGCATTCCTTTAGAAAATATAGATAAAGCTAGAAAATGATTAATTTCACTTAAAAGTTTTTGATGCAAAGATGCACATTTCACAAGCCATTTTTGATAAATGTAGACTTTTTGTGGTTTATCAGATATTCATATGTTTGAATAATGAATGCCTCCATAAACTTACAGTGGTAAAATAATTATGAACTTGGAATAAAAGTTAAAAAAATCTTATTATATCCATTTTTAATTGATCAGAGTGGTATCGTATGCCTGCTATCCATCATTTTGGAAGCATCATCTGGATTCACCAAGTGAAAATCACTGTTATGTGTCCAGTGAATATGGAAAAAATCATACAAATGGGCCCTGTCCCAATGCTTTAGAAGATTCCAATCGGTTATACCGCTGTGGCTCTCACTACAGGGTCTCCTCAAAAGTAAGTTCATGCTGTGTACACATCCTATCATTTTCATTTTGTCCTTTGGGGCTTGAAAATAATTTGGTATATGGAAATATTTGCACTTTACTTGAATACTTTTTAGGAGAGTTCTTCTTTTTATTGCACTTGTCAGAAGAGATTATATTCTTTGTAGTTTCTCAGTTTATCTCTTCAAAGTGATGCTGCTGTGGTTCTTTAGAAATTAAAGATAGAAATGAAATTATGCAGTCATAATGTGCATTATTTCTTCTTAAACATATTCTTGAAAGTTTTTCTCATTTGGTAAACCAAATTTCTGCTATAGAAGAAATACAAGTAAAGTGGTATATTTTATGCCATATACATTTATAACACAGAATGGTTTGGGTTGGAAGGGATCTTTGAGACCACCTAGTTAAAACCTCCCTGCTATAGGCAGGGGCACCTCGCTTTAGACCAGATTGCTCAGAGCCTCATCCAGCCTGGCCTTGAATGATTCCAGGGAGGAGGCATGCACAGCTTTTCTGGGCAACCTGTTACATATGTTATATATAACCTGTTATACATATGTATATATACAATGTATGCATATGGTGATAAATTGGTATGTTTTTATGTTAGTATGGTATTGTATTTATGTTATTTAACATAATGTATTTTCTTCCCTTGTCTTCTCTGCTGCTGCTCTTCCTTTCTCTCAGGAAACTGATATCATGGAAGAAATCATGGCCAAAGGACCTGTGCAAGGTATGGTAAGTTTGAAATAGTTAATACTGTCATTGAAGTAATTAATGTACAGTGATCTTGTAGCTAAATATTAGAAATCATAAATTCATCCATGGTGAATAAAAGAGACGTATATGCAGTAGTTCACCCAGGGTTTCCAGCATTGATGTAACTTGTGGTGTGCAAGGGCTCAGATCTTGTAGGGAAATAAAGATACTTCAGCAGGATGTGAGGGAATGGAAAAGAGTTGTTTAGCCTGACTGGTTGCAGCCACAGATGGTGCTGAAGCATCTGGGGATGGGGAACAGGCGTTGTGCTGGATATCCATCTGATTGGATGGACGACCAATGCAAAACCAGAAGAGTTTGTTATTTCAATTGACTTGAGGTATATAATGAATTATCATGACCTCCAATTCATTACTGAAAAATACATGATTAGATATAATTCATTTCAGTGAATTGTGATGTTGAAATTAAAGTTCTTTATGTGAGCAGCTGCAATTTAAAGCTCAACTTTGACGAAACCAGTACTAGTAGTCTTCTTCTGCCCAACCTTGTTTGCTCAAGGGAAACATTCTTTCCCACACTGAATTTTGTCTAGAAGTGAACACAGTGTTTCTACTTATTTTGAGATAAGGAAACAGTTTGAATCCCGAAGACAGAATTTCAGACTGCTCTCTAATACTGCCTTCCCCTGCTGTGTACACATAGCTTGCTATTTTAATCTATCTGTACTCAGTCTTTCACATAAAATTACCTAGATTCAGACGTTTGTTAAGTTTTAATCACACAATGATTCATATCATTTTTGGAATGTCAGTGTGTTTTCAGCAAGTCTCAAGGTAATGTTGTATGTGAAAAATAAAATCTAGATCTTAAAAGAGCATGTATCTGAGAGCTTCTACAACTGAGTGTGATTCCTGTCCATTCTTTCTTTGTGTTATAATGAGATCCTTAAATGAGTCTCTGCTATGATCTAATAGTTTGTCACTGTTCTTATTCTATCTTCCCATAATACAAATGCAATCAGGATATGATTCTAACTTTAAAACAATATCATGCATTTTTTTTTCAGAACATCCTGAAAGTGATCTTCAGCTACTGAAAATGATTTTCCATTTTCCTTCACTTGTCATTCCTCAAGATCTTACAAAGTACTTATGACCAATTTTATCTAACGAGTAATATTTAATTAATTAATGGATAATATTCAAGAACCTTCCAAGATGATGAATCCTTCATAATGTTGAATGTGCACAAAGAATGTGCAACAAGATGATTTTCATCATCTTAATGATTAATAATTTTGTTTTCTTTGTGCACATTCAACATTATGAAGGATACATATATTCTTAACAGTTCTGAAAATGTAGGTGTAGGAATATAGTTAAAAACTTTCTCCTATACAGCTTTCAAGTTTGAATGACAGTTTCTCTCTTGCAAACATCATTGTTTTATGTGGTACAGAACAGAGCAATTAGCAGTTTGAGGTGCAGATGATGAAATTCTAGTTTCTATTAAAATTAACTTTGAAATAAATATCGTGTAGTTTTACTAATGCTTTGAAAATTTTCAAATAGACAATCAAATGCTGCCCACAATTTTTATTTAATGGACTTTATGACATATTCCTATAGTTATAGTGCTGACATAGAATAAGAATCTCTTCTGTAATGTTAGCTGCTCTCAGTCAAAGAAAAGCTAAAAACACATTGTTGGCAATACGTGAAATTTGTAATTTTACTTATCATGATCTTGGAAATAAAGGAACATTACATATGCTGCCACAGATTTGGAGAAAGCACTAAACTGCATTAATGTACTGTGCTACACTTCTTACCTCTGATAGCTACTACATTTTTGGGTTTTGTATCTTTGTACGTCGAAGATACAGGGATTCTAATTTAAGAATTGTGTTCAGTGGAATCCATAGTAGAAAAAATCTTACAATCTGCTATTTATGCAAGGATCTGACAGCTCAGCATGACTGAAGTAGTTTATGCATAAGCTACAGTAAGGCACAAAAATTACTGCCTCTTCCAATTCATTTATAATTAATTCTTTCATTTTGGAAAATGCATGGTTGCTTTGATGTGGGATGGCACACAGCTGGCTGGGAAAGTGTGATCCCTTCCAAGTCACAGTCCATATCAGGACAAGGTCTCTGAAAAAATAAAAATATCTCAGTGCTTGACTTTGAATTGTCACCTTTCTATCTACTCTACACTTAATGTGCACAGCTCCTGATTAATATGCAGGGTTTTTAAGTAGGCATGCATAAATATATATGCATGTATGCAAATATATATACAATTATATACCGATCTACAAATACCAAATATACATATTCTTCATATGTACATATAATACACAACGAACTGAAATTTTCTCATTTTCTTCATGCTGAAGTTACATCGCAAATATATTTCAAATGTTGTATTTCATTTCAGTATGATAGATATGATAGTTCTTCAGAGAGAACATACTTTTGATTTAGAGGTGCTGATACAGAATAAATTGTTCACTGAAATTGAACAAATGGACCTTGATATTACTGATAGAGGGATAACCACAGGAATTCCCAGATCTATACACTGGAGAACCTGCGATAGGAAGGGGTAAACATTTGCAGGAAAATTTTGTTGAATCCTGACCTTGCAGCTAGAAGACAAGGGTAAAGTTTGTGCTATTTTCCTCTTGGTCTGTTGCTATCGATAACTGTGAGCTCTCATTCTGCAGACAGCTCTGGCAGAAGCTGTGGCATTATTCATTAAATTTATTTTTCTTATTTAACTGATAAAACTCTTCCCATTTCTTCCCACTTACCATCACGGTTACTTATTCTCTTTGTGTTTCTATCTGCATAAATTTGGGACATGACAGACCTTATTAACAATGAATATTTTCAGCCAGCTTTCCTGGGTAAATGAAACCTATATATATAACCATGTTTTGAGCTGTTTTTTTTCCTCCCATCTTTCTGTCTCCTAAAATTTGAAAATGCTTTCTGTTTCAACCAATTTGATAGAGGCCAAGAGGTCATAAAGAAATTAATTTCCTTCAAGTTTACGACAATATTCATTTAGGGGAAAGTAATCTGAAAACATGCCAGATGAAAAAAAACTGGATCATGAGCTTGCCTTACTCAATGGATAGTGCAGATCTATACAAGGCACATATGTTTTAATACTCCAACCACATCAAAATTTTCATTGAAACATGTACTTTATTGGATTCCTGAGGCACAAGACTTTAAGAAACTGAGTTTCATTAATTCTCATGTTCCAGGCAGCGTGGCAGTTTCACAGAATCACAGAATTGTAGGGGCTGGAAGGGACCTCAAGAGACCATGGAGTCTAACCCCCTGCAAAGCAGACTCCCTATGGGTTCTCTATAGGAACTTCCAATGCTCCAGTTTATGGCTGTTCCCCTTGTCCTGTCCCACAGACCGCTGAAAAGAGGTTGGCCATGTCCATTTCTCCCACACTTAAGATACTTATAAACGTTAATAAGATCCCCTCTCAGTCTTCTTAAGGCTGAACAGACCCAGTTTGCTCAGCCTTTCCTTACAGGGGAGATGTTCTAGGCAAATATAAGTGTGCTAAAATCATAAGCGAAATGTAGACTGAAATTAAACTTATGTTCACACTTCTATTTAGGTAATGTAAGCTGGAAAATATTTTCTCTGGATCTTGTAGCCCAGCAAGTAACAAAACAAATGGAACTAACATAGCAGAACGAATTGGGAAAAATATCTCAAAATATTTTCCTTAAAACTGAAGCAAGTGATAATCCTATGAAAAGATGTAAAGTGCAGATAGTAATATTCATTCCCTTGCACTAAATTTACAGTTCATCAGCTTGTTGGCCTTATGTTGCTATTAACACGCTGTATTTTGATCCACTGTTTTACAATGCTTTCATTAGGAAGTCATAATGAACAAAGACATAGAAAGTCTATCTTTCCATTAGGAGATTCCAGTCTACCCAATGAACTCTGTTTGAATTAAAAAGAAATAAAAAATAATTTAAAAAAATTGCAAATGTTTGTCACTCTGCCATATTTCATAGGATGCTATATACATGCACATACATTGGCAGTTAAATACTTCTCTGGACTAACTGAGGATTTTATGCATGAAACCTGAGGAGGTTTGTCTTATTGGACTGGATTTGTACAGAACTTAGAAAACTTGCATAAGCCCATAGGAGGAGATATTCATTTTTTTTTAAATTGAAATAGATCTGTCACAGGGAGTTTCCAGGACAGGGAAAGCCAACTAATTTGACAGGAGACTTTTGAGAGGTGTGTTGGAATATTTCCCTTGGTTTACTCATAGGAGGAAACTTCTGAGAGAATTTATTGTAATTACAAAGTACACTCATGCAGTATGACACAAAACCTCACAGCTAAAATTCAAGGAGAAATCTAGAGTACAAGCAATATTTGCTGACTGTGCTGATTTTTCCTACTATTTTCTTTTTTTTTTTTTTAAGCTATAATGAAAGTCTATGAGGATTTTTTCCTTTACAAAGAAGGAATCTATAGACACTCCTACAAAGCAGGATCCAAATGGAAAACTCACTCAGTGAAACTCCTTGGGTGAGTATTCTTTTACCCCTTTTCCATGCTAGTCATGAACACAAGGACATATTACTGCTCAGTTTGGAACCTAATGGTTTTGTTGTCAGAGATGTAGCACTGTTACCTCCCAGTGAAAGATTCTGTTTGTTTCATTTTTGCATATCTGAGAATTTTAGAAGTCATTGGAAAGAGCTGTAGTCCCGTGGCCTTTTAATACACTCTAACATATGTTCTAAGACTTCAAATGTAGAAGTTATGGCCAGAAGTGAAAAGAAGTCACCAAGCAGAATCCAAGCTGAAATGTAAACGTTGCCAGTGGCCTCCTAACTAGCCAGCACAGTTGTATTTACACAGCAGTCTGGGCTCTCCACACCCCATACAGAAATCAGCTGCTGCAGGGATGCTGCTGGTTTAATCTGGGGTGCATAAGAAGTACACACCCAGTCTGACACCGCTGCAGAAGGATATGAATAATACATCAGTTGATTTCCCCTCAAATGCTGAACAGTGCCAACAGATGACAAGTATCTAACAATGCATGCACTTGAGTTACAGAATGCTTCAGAGTGCTTTTTACTCTGACATGGAGGGAATATGCAAGGTTGCGCTTAATAAATCACTGAAGGAATAGTTAAACAGACAAATGGCTGAAGATAAGTCTCAAACAAATATTTTGTAGGTGATGTAGAATATCAAATAAATAATGATTCAGTCCCGTTCAAGAAAAATTGCTGAGAGTATCTCCAACACGATTCTTCAAGAAGAAAGTGTAGCAAAATAAATTGCCTATTGTATCTGTGATACAGATACCCTTGCAAAGGATATGGAAATTATAATGGTTGTGGAAACTGCTGACTAAGAATTACAAGAGTTTGTCTGGTAGTGGCACAGAAGAAAACAGAAGCAGAGACTTAAGCAGGATCAGCCTTGAGCCTATAGAGTTGCAAAAAAACCTGACTCAAAGAGTAATAGAGGAAAAGCTCCTGAAGTGAGCATTGCGAAGCTATGAAAAACTGGCAGAGATCTTGGAAAAGACTGCATTAGGAAAATATGTTTATGAAGGAAAGCCTGTATGTTTGGTATATATATATTTATTGTATTTAAGGTATATCTGAAAGAGAAATTGATAAAATTTAACAGGAAAATTGGAACTTCAGGGATGAACCTCTATGGGGCTGTAAGTGCACATGTTGGGATTCCTGTGTTTGGTACAAGTGTAGGGTGGTAATAACTATTCCCTCAAATAAAAATATGTTGTCTAGCCTAGCGAATCTCATCACAGGGGAAAGTGATTAGACCAGAACTGCACAGGGGAACAACATGATGGCTGAGGAGCAAGGGACGAGGACTATTAATGTGCTGAAGTAGCTGCTGATTTAAATGATAACCAATAGGATGTGCACAGAAAAAGAAACACTTAGGCAAGGAGCCATTTATAAGCAAATAACAGGACATCTTGACTTAGACTTGATTTAGTCTCAGGGGATTGTATGGACCAGTCTGAGCAAAACACTGAGTAGGAAGAAAATGTTTTAATATGCCAAAAGACATGAGAAAAAAAGTGAATGAAAAAGAAGAAAAAGAAGGCAAAGAAATGTCAGACTGATTAGGAGTTTAATATGTGGGAAATACATTTACTTACTAATTTTTGTTGAAGAATGCTGAACTATCTAATGGATCCGACACTGTAAAGAATTGCCCATCTTTCCACCATCTAATGTATAAGTGTTCTTACTGTTGAGACTATGCCATGTGAAATATTTGCAGAGGTATTTAACTGTAAAATTGGATCCAATTTTGATAAGTTGGAGGTTGTTTGAGCCCAAGACCTGGTGTGCTTGAACTTATCATAGAATCAGAGGATTGTTTAAGTTGGAAAGGACATTTGAAGGTCATCTGGTCCAACTGAAGAGAGGTTTGGAGCACAAGCCTTAGGAGGAGCAGTTGAGAGAGCTGGGATTGTTTAGTCTGGATAAGAGGAGACTCAGGGGAGACCTTACTGCTCTCTACAAATATATGAACGGAGGTTGTGGTGAGGTGGGGGTCAGCCTCTTCTCCAATATAACTGATAAAAGGAGTAGCCGAATGGCCTCAAGTTGCACCAGGGGAGGTTCAGGTTGAACATTTCTCCATACTTTTTCTCCAAGAGTGTGGTCAGATACTGGAATGGGCTGCCCAGGCAGGTGGTGAAGTCACTGACCCTGGAGTTGTTCAAGAAACTTTTAGATGTTGTACTGTGGGACATGGTTTTGCAGGAAATATTGGTGGTAGGTAGATGGTTGGACTGGATGATCTTAGAGGTCTTTTCCAACCTTGGTGATTCTATTATTTTATGATTCTAACTCCCTGTAATAAACAGGGACACCTGCAGCTCGATTGGATCACTCAGAGCTCCATCCAGCCTGGCCTTGAGTGCCTACAGGGATGGGGATTATACCACCTCTCTGGGCACCATTTTACTAGCAATGATGAATCCAGCGATTAAATGTGACTCAACACTATCAAGTTTAAAACACTAAAGATTCAAATGCTTTCAGAATGAAGCTGTCACTTTTTCATATTATTCAACACTTTGAACTAATTTGAATGTAAAATGTATTGCCCAGACACAAGCTCTCTGCGATCTACAACAGCTTGTTCTGTTCTTGTTTGTTTGTTTTGTGTGCATATTGTGTTTTGTTGTTGGTTTTGAGCAAAAGATAATGCAAAATCTTTTACATAGAAAAAAAAGCTCATGAGAATCTCGTGAATGCTGAACTGGAAATAAAAATTGTGATGATTATTTTCATTTTGCATCACAGAATTTTTTTGAGAGAAAAAGGGGCAGAGACATGATGACATAGGGTAAAAATATGCAGTTTTTTGCAGGCTGATATTTATTGTAATCTGATTTTTAAATTTATAACTGCTAAAAATGAGTTAATGTTTGTAAAAGGCAGTTATAGTAATGGACGACCATAATGAACTGATATATGCAATCTCTCAAAAACGCTTTTGAAAGTGCCATAAGCTGCTCATGCTTGCAACTATGTATAAAGACTACAGAGTGTTATAAAATAGATATAAATTTTAGTGAAACCATTTTTAACACGAACAGATAGGCTCATATAAACGTCTAACTGAATACACTGACTGAATTCTGTCATTATGCAAGTTGAAACTGCTATTTTCTATCATTTTGAGGTTTCTACTTCATAAAACCAGATCTAAGTCTAAAAAAAATCTATCTCCAGTGATATAGTGTATGACCTCAGGCTCAAGGAGAGCATGGAAAAGAACTGTGTGGAAACAAGAAAGAAAAATACGGAGCAGCCAGGCAGAGGGTGTTGCAGGTTGCAGATGGTTTGAGTGTAAAGATGGTCTCTGTGGACAGTGAAATAGGTTTCCAATGGACTGAAGTCAGGACTGACTGAAGTCATGCTGACAAAGTATGATGTCTCAAGTGGTTTCTGTGTCTTGTCTGCAGAGTCAGTGAGGTAAGTAGAAAAAATGAGGAATGGAGACTGGAATTCATAACATTTAAGTTTTGATGCATAGAATTTAGAAGTTACATCTCTGCTAGGCAGTCATGGTTTCCTTTATTATCCACGGTTGTGCTGCTCTTTCTATCTGTCCTTAAGTGCATTTAATTGCTGTTTTTTTTAACTTCTGTTTGTTGACTATAAAGGAACCCCTGGGGATAATGTCAGACTTGCAGAGCTAACATTAAAATGCCTAAGGTAGACTAGATGAATCCTACTTTAAAATCCCACTTTATAAAGTAACGCCAGCTTGTGCAACAAACTCACTGACCAATGGTCCATAATGTTTATGGTAAGATAATATCCTCAAAATGTCATATGCTTGTTTGTGTCTATGTACACACACAGGTATACGGATTTATGTGTATATACACATTAAATTTCAACTCAGAATCACACCAGAATGAAAACTACCTGAAAAGCCACAACAGAACTAAAAAGAGCTAAAGAGACTAAAGGAGACAAACTGTTCAGAATTTGGCAATTTTCACATTTTTTTCTGCATTCACATTTTAAATAGAATAATGATTGGAATTACTAGGATCAGTGACTAATGATATGTGAAACTGTACACTTATCTCAAGATGTCTTAATAAAAACAGACTTAATTCACATCAAGATGAATTTGGTAATAAATTTACCACCTAGATCTATAATTTTGAGTTAGAGTTGAGTTGCCAAACAAACATTTCAAGTCCAGTCTATAGCATATTCTTTATAAAAATGATGCACTTTTTATTATTATTATTACTTTTTTTTATATTCTTTTACACCTCTGGCTTTCTAAATCCCACTGAGGAAAAGAAGAGAAATAGCGTGTTTATAGAAAAAGAAAACAGTGAAGCAGATTTGGATATGGTGTAAGGATTGCAAAATCTATTAACTTTGGAGGAAGAATATTGGCTTAAGCAGCTCTGCCTCAGTCAAATATATCTTTCTTCAAAGTCAGGTATAACCAAGTAAAAAACCATCACTAATGTTTTCAACCTGTTCAGACAGATTCTTTCAGCCTTATTCATCTTTATCAATTCAACATTCATGATAGGCTACAATATCTGATGTGTATTTCCATTCAAAGAACTGTATCTGCTTCTCCCTTGAGAATGAAAAATTCAGAAGGCTTTCAAAAAGCCCAAGACTTTGCCTGCAATCAGATTTACTTACTGTCACCTTAAAGCTTGTATGGAACAAGTATAGTTTTATTAAAAGCCTTAGGTACTGATTCATGACCAGTATAGGTTTTCAGATATTTAGAAGATGCTTTAAATGGAAAAGAACTTTAATAAGAGGACACTGAGAGATGTTCCTTCTATTTTTATCCACTGGAAGATTTAAATTCAATAGTGCAGGAAATAAATGAAATTAAAACATTTACGCCCTGAAAAAGCGTGAGTTGAATTCATTGTTTTTTAGCACAGTCACTCTAAAATTGACACGTGAAGCAAAAACTTGTGTTTTAGTGTTGAGGATACATTCTGGCAGAGCAACAGCACTTTA